ATTTCTGCTGACATTATTACGAATTTCTACGTCTATTTGCGTACATTGTCAAATTCGTTTGTGAAGTTTTTATTTTTTCGAAACTAGTTTTGTATGGACAGTGCCGTTCTTACGCTAACAAATATAAATTCCAAATTCCAAATAGGCGATGGCTGACGCAATCGTTGCAGATTTCACAGAGACAAAGAAGTGAACGTGTGAGATTTTGTTAAAATGTGATGGTGAAAATATTTGTCGAGGAAACTCTCATAAAAATATACTAGTGAAAATAGAGAGAGGTATCTTCTATAACATATAAATTTTAGGATTGTATTATACCGAGAGGCTTACTTTAATATAAAATGACGTGTTACGTATGGCTATAATCGTCAAGCTTCATCTTAAAGGTGGCCATGGATGGGGATATATCAAAGTCCATAGGCAGAGCATTCCATGCCTGAACTACATGCTTAGAGAAGAACTTTCTTGGGTGCAGTCTTGCTACAGTCGCACTTAATTTGAGAAGGTGTCCTTGCATTCTATTGACAGTGGGAATTTCAAAGAAATCGTCAGAGGCGAGGCAATAATCGTGGCCCCGCAGCATATGGAATGCCTGTATTGGGTCAGTTCAGTTCAGTTTAGTTTTATTGAGGGAAAGATAGGCAAATGCCTTTGAGATGTATATTGATGATACAGTGAAGAAAAATGTATCGATAAAGTAGAGGAGTTCAAACAGTAGTTGTTCACATGATTGCAGGCAAATTATTAGCAGCCGTCAGGTAGTGGGAAATAGTGAATATGCATTACTACTCACACATTGCGAGTATATGCTCACATAATTACGGTATCTCGGCTCATGGGCGATGACAATGACATGGTTGATTAGATAGGAGAGAGTCAAAAAGAGCAGACAGTGAAAAAACTCCGTGCGTTGTTTTCAGAAACTATACATATTTTAAATGCGATTCGGGGATTTTAATGAGAAAAATCTGTCGCTCATGGGAGGAAATGTACATGAGATTGGAGCGTCATGCTAATGAGGATGGAATGGCGGGACGTAGGAGCCTATCACGGAGAGCGGCCGTATAGTTAAGGGTGTTGTAACGGAACCCCAGGCAAAGATATCGCCGCCCAATAACGCCTTGTGTGAGTCCCCAAAGGAAGAACATGACAAGAAGTGTGCAACGGCAGAAGTCTCTTAGTGTATGAGGTGCAACGTATTTAGGAAAAAAACGCGTTTAAACGATGCCCCTTGGGTCAATCAGATTCTCTCCTGAAATAGTCGCCGGTATTATTGCTTTTGGCTCAGTGAGTGAGTGTAGCTAGAAATTCGAATTATTGATTGATTGTATAGCATGATGCGTTAGCTCACGCGTAGTCCGATCGATAGCCTATTGTGGACGCGGCTATGGCTTGCAAGCTACTGCTTGCTAAGGCTGTTGTTAGGCCGTCCTAACACTCCCCTCTGTAGACAAATCGTAAGATTTCAGTTGTGGGTTCACTTGCAATGGAACCGTTTGCATTCTTTTCTGGCCTGATCGCCTAGAAGCTTGGTGAGATTGACTGACAACTGGAATTGTAGTTTGTTGCCTTGGTTTAGCAGGTCGAAAGTGTCCAGTAATAGTTTCAGTGATGATGTTGGGTCTGGTCTTGGCACGTCAGCACATTTAATGTGTTTCAACTGGTTGGCGTGTCGCATCCAAATGTCGGAGCCGACCCGAATCTCGTAAACTACGTCACCACCCTTTCGGTAAACACGTCCAATCGTCCACTTTTCCTGATTATTCCTGTAGTCC